ACACTAATTCCTCGGCTCCCTGGAGGGCTGCCGCCGTGGTCAGCACAGGAAAGGACAGAAGCACGGCCCTGCACATCTTTTACTTGCGGGTGCAGGGGGAGATGAAACATCTGGCGAGTTCGCCAAGGGGGCAGGAGCGCTTGCCGAGGGTCACCGGGACGTGCGAACAGTGTCACGCAGAATCCACGCCACTGCGATGTCCCACACAGGTTCTGGGACAGACAGAAGGATGTCAAGGACGGAAGAACAGCTGTGGCCTGTTCTGAACAGCCAATGGCCTGGGCGTGGAACTCTGTGAAGACAATTAGGACTCCCAGAGGCAGCCTCGACATGCACGGCCGGTGCACCCGGAGCGCTGGCCGCTGCGAGGCTGTGACACGGCAGAAAGGGGTCTGTGGCCCTTCCGTTAGCAAGCGGAGCACACAGCTAAAACATAAGCAAAAGCAAGCCTGCCTGCTTCAAGGCAGAAGGGAAAAGCACAAATCTCTGTTAGGGGCCAGAAAGAGAAAATAGAAGTTAGCTCAGGCCAGGCCAGAAGGAGCGCGCGAATGTTCTTGGTGCGTGTGCGCGCGTGCGCGCGAGGACGTGTATGTACGTGAGTGTACGTGAGTGTGCGTGTGTGTACGTGAGTGTGCGTGTGTGTGCGTGCACGCACGCACCAGGCCTGGCTTTGGCTCTTTTCACCAGGTTCTGTCCCTACGCCCAGGACGGACGGGCGTCTCCCCTGCTCTGCACTCAGTGCTGGGGGAGCACCCTGGCACGGAGTCGCTGCTGGGTGACCCTCAGCACACAGATGGGACAGCGCAGAAACCCGGGCCAGGCTGCGGGAGCGGCCAGCGCTGCGATAGGGAGCTGCACGTGGGTGTCACTCAGCAGCACGCGGTCCGTGTCCTACCCCGCAGCCTCCAGGGCCGTGCAGGAGGAAGCCGCAGGCCCGAACTGCAGGACTTGTCCTATCCCCTCCTTGTCCCTTCCCCACTGTGTCCCTGGGAGGATTCAGTCACCACCAAGGCACAAAAACAGATAAGTATTTGATTCTCCATGAGTTGTGATGATTCTCTCTGTATTTCAGACTCTACTATAAAAAAAAAAGCTTTGATAAAAGTAGAGAGACCAGTATAAAGAATCCCATAGACACATCATCTACTTTTAACCATTAACACTTTGGTATGTTTACTTCGTTTTCCTTTTTTTTGGTACCGAGCATAACTCACCACCTTAGCTTATGCCGCTGAGCTAGATCCCTGGCCCTTCTTTCTTTGTTTTATCCTTCCTTCCTTTTTCTTTTGTGTTCTTTCCTTTTGTGTTTTGCTTTGCTTTGCTTTCTGAAGTATTTAAAAATAAATCCCAGACACTACATTTTCCTGTAAATGCTTCAATATACAGCTTTAAAATTCAGCGTGGTTTTGTTGTTGTTGTTGTTTGTTTGTCTTGTTTTGTTTTGGAGACAGGGTCTCAGTATGTACTTGAGGCTTGAACTCACTGTGTGGCCCCGGATGGCCTTAAACTCACAGTGTTCCTCCTGCTTCAGCCTCCCAAGTGCTAGAATTACTGCTGTAAGCCACCACACCTAGCTTTAATATACACCTTTAAAACAGTATGGTGACAAAATGCCTGTGATTAGAGCCAGGGGTTTAGTTCAGTGGTGTAAGTGCCTGCTTGGCAAACGTGAGGTCATGAGTTAAAAAAAAAAAGCCTGTGATTCCAGTATTCAGGAGGCTGAGGCAGGATGATCCTAAAGTTTGAGACTGCCCTGGGATATATACTGAGTTCAGGGCTGGTCTGGACAATGTAATGAGATCCTGTTTCAAAAAACCAAAAACCAACTGTCTTAGTTACTTTTCTTATTGCTGAGACAAAATACCCATCACACAAAGTTAAAGGAGAAAAAGTTTATTTAGCTCATACTGTGGAGGTTTCCATCCATAATTGGCTGGTTTGAAGGCAGAGTGGTACAGGGCAGAGGGGCATCTCAGAGAACTCACAGTTCATTACACACTGCAGATAGCACAAGCAAGTAAGGAGGGGAGTAACCACAGCTCTTTCTATCCCTTATAGTTTATCTTATCCAGGTGGGTAGCACTCACACCTTGATCCTAGCATTACACTATGAATCAATCATGTACTCTAGATCCAATCTCCTCTGAAAAAGGCCCACTTAGGACTACATGAGGCTTTGAGGGGACATCTAGATACAGGGCATAATGCTAAACAACCAAACAAAAAGATAAAGACATTTTCTTGTATAATGACAAAATCACATATGAAAATTAATAATTCTTAATCTTTTGTAAGGCACCTTCCTAATCCTCAAATCTCCTGATTATCCCCAGATGTCTCCTTACAGTTGGTTTGTTTGAATCAGGAAGCAAGCAAGGTCTACACCCTGCATTTGTTTTTTTGTTTGTTTGTTTTTGGTACCGGGGATCAAACTCATGACCTTGAGTTCATCAGGCAAGTGCTTACATCATTGAGCCAAATCCTCAGCCCCTACACCCAGCATTTGGCTGCTGCCTCTTTTGTCCCTGTCATCTGGAGGATGGCTGTGCAGTGTCAGCCAATGGCTTCACTTACCTAGGCACCCTCTGAGTGTCACCCTAGGCTGGATGAGCCTCTCTGAGTGTCCTCCAGGCCCCTCCCTAGCAGCCCAGATGGCCAGAGATTAGTGACCAGGGTTTGAAGGAATGAGCCCTGGCTTGAAACCAGAAACTCATGGATTTTCAAAATTCCAGGCAAGAGACCACAAAATGGGGGGTAGGGTTGGGAAATGTTTTTTTTCCCCTGGTCCTGAATAAGATAAAACTTCTACTAGGCCAGAGTCATGGGGGAGGGGAGAGAGAGAGAGAGAGAGAGAGGCACTGGAGCTACAGAAAAAGATGTAGGGGGCTCGTGCTGAGGAAGGAAGGGCAGTCATCTTCCTTGGGGTCTCCCAGGGGCTTGGCCCCTTTTGTTTGTCCAGTGGGTAGGATGCCCATCTCTCCCTGGAGAGCTTTGCAGGCCAGGGTCAGTGGCTCTGGGAGGCCCCTCTGGCTACTTAGAGCTTCCCACCCACCCCAAAGAGGACCACATGGCATTGTGCTTGTTTGTGCAGCCGGCCTGGGTGTTCTTGGCCCTGTGAGAGTTCAGCCATGTGCTCAGCTGGTTTCCTGTGTACTGGAAACTTTGATCAAAAAGGGGACCCTGGGGCCTGAGCTTTGTCCCCCATGCTGTACTACAGCTTACACAGGGCCAGATCTGGTGATGTTGCTGAGCTCCCAGAGCAGTGGTCCCCAAAGACCCTGCAGGTGAAGACAGCTGTGCTCTTGTCTGGGCACTTTCCAGAGCCCAGCCAGTGTTTCTGCTTGAATATGCAGTATGCCTGGGGGCCAGCTGTCTTTCCTGATGACCTTTTAGTGCCCTCTGGTCTGTGTCTTCTCTTTGTGGGCTCAGGTGGTGTTGGCACTGGAAGGTGCTGCTCTCAGGGAGGCCCCCAGAGACCTGGGGGTCCTGATTGTATGGTGGTGGGAACACTGGGAAGACACTGCTCTGCTGGCCTCCATGAGAAGTACATAGATCTTGGCAGCTGGCAATCTGGCCTGCATCTGATCAATTTTATCTGTAAAGTATTCTGAAAATTTCTCCCCCAAAGAACATGTTGACCCTCTGAAGGAGGGAATGAAATGTGGGTCGCCTGTTTGAAGACATTCTCAGTTTTGATGAAGTCTGTGTGGAGACCCAAGATAAGCCTCAGAAGGCGAGCCAAGCGGGAGGGGGCGAGGCTGCTCTGGTGAGTCTCGAATCTCCCTTGGCCTTCCATTTTATGTGTTTACCAATTGTGAAAGCAAATCCAGCTGTTGGGAGGAATTGCTTCCAGATGACATTATGGGAAAGGAAAACACGCATTATAAAAAAGTTGCAGAATAAAAACCAGAACATGTATACTCTGTGGGCCAGGATTTCATATGGACTATTTCCTGAGATTGTGCAATAAGCCAGCTCCAGAGGTAGGAAGAAGAACAGGGCAGATGGTCTCTGGCTGGAGTCAGCAGATCAGAGCTGGGACTGGATTTGGCAGAACTTAGAGAAAACTCACTTGACCTCACTGGGCCACCGTAGCTTTCCTCATTCTGAGAGCTCACTTCTCATTTTCCCTGGGGATCTTTGCAAATGCTGCCCCAGAAAGGGTCTTCTGCTTGCTGAATCACGTGGGTAAGAGAACCCAGAGGAAAAAGCAAAGACATTTCACTTTTGAAAATGGGATGTATTTCACGACTCCCCTGCACTGAATTTGCTGTGCTGGCTTTCTCAAAGATTTCAGGAGCTCTCTAACGAGCTGGAATTAAAGTGTCCCTTTACTAATTTGGTTTTACAGGTCACTGGATAAACCTACTTAGAGTGGTTTGGAAGAGGATTAGGACATTTGTGTCCCTTCCAAGTTGACTTTCCAGGCAGGGTCGGTCAGCAGCTGGAGACTCCCTTGGCCAGGGGCCAGAGCTCTTTCTCACAAGCTGCACAGTTGGAAGGACCTGGCAACTCTGATTGCACATAATGCAAACATTTCCATGCAGGACGTGCACCCCACAAGCCAGTTACTTTGCTGCTGCTTCAGCCTGGAGCAACTTTCTCCACCCCTGCAGGCCATAGTGGACTTTAAGAGCGAGTGAATTCAGTTAGATGGCACTGTGGTCACTAGCCCCAGTGGCTGTGCATATTTATATTTAAAATTCAGTCTTTAAGTTTCACTAGACCAATTTTAAGTGTGCACATGGCTATCAACAGCCATACAGAAACAGTAGATTCCTTTAACAAAAGTGTGTGAGGTGCCACTGCAATGAGCGAAGCATACAGAATCTCTGCCCTCCTGGAGAGCATGTTTTAAAGAGGAAGAAAAATAGACGATAGCTGGACAGGCTGGCTCACGCCTGTAGTCCCAGCTCTCTGGGACGCTGAATCAGGAAGACTGTCAGTTGGAGTCAACCCTGGGCAACTTAGTAATCTAGTAAGACCTGTCTCAAAATTCATTTACTTATTTATTTATTTTTCGAGACAAGATCTTGCTGTGTAGTTCAGGCTAGCCTTGAACTCATGATGATCCTCATGCCTCAGCCTCCCACGTGCTGGAATTCAGGTACGTGTCACCAAACCTTGCCTCCTTTTTTACTTTTTGAGAGAGTCTTGTGATTTGAACTGACCAGGCTAGGTTCAAATTTGAAACCCTCCTGCCTCAGCCTGCCAGAGATAAGACTATAGATGTGTGCCATCATGCCTACCCTTTTCAGAAGTTAAAGAAAAAACCAAAAAGATTGAGATAAAAAACAGACCATACACATAACAGGTCAGTTTCAGTTGCTGTCCCAGTGGGTAAAGAGCAAGGCTGGTTCCCGGGAGGCAGTGCGGTGGGGCTGTAGAGACACAGCCAGTGAGCTCCTCCCCTTGCGACCCATGGCCTAGAGGGGAGCCAGAGGCAGGCTGGGAAAGAGCTGAGGGCCAGTCCGGAGGGACAGAGTGTCCCGCATGATCACGCAGTCAGGGAGAAGGCAGCAGGTGCTGGAAGGCAGCAGACAGGCTAAGAAGCCCAAGTCCTGACTTGGGTGAGAGGTCGTAATAGGGAGAGTGCCCCAGGCACAGGACTGCCTTTGTCAGCCCACTCCCCTCCTTCTCCGCTCTTCTGTAAGGACAGTGTCTCCCCTCATGTCTGTCATCATTGGCTCTTGTTTCTGCCACACGCTGCCTTCTCTGCAGGCCACTCACCGGTCCCTTGGGTGCGGCTCTGCTCATCGGTCAGGGAGTCTCTGTGCTGCACTTTACATGGGGGGGGGCAATTTTTTTATTTTTTGCTATGAATATGCTATTTTTAGAACAAAAATATTTTAGCAAGCCGGGCGTGGTGGCTCATGCCTGTAATGCCAGTACTCAGGAGGCTGAGGCAGGAGGATCGTTGTGAGTTCGAGACCAGCCTAGACTACAAAGTGAGCTCAAGTCCAGCCTGAACTGCATAGAGAGACCTTGTCTCAAAAAGACAAAAAAAAAAATTAATTTTAGCATAGAAAAAAAGAAGCAAATAGCATAGAGACTTCCCGTATACCCTACATCCAACGTTCCCTCTTATTAATATCTCACAGGAGAGCTGGATGCTTGATACAATTAATGAGCCCATTATGACGTATTTACTACAACCTTATTTTATTCTGATTTTCTTAGTTTACTTTTTTCTGAGTTTATTTTAAATGTCAGAAAATGCTTTATTTTCTTTTCCTGCTCTTTAGAAGATGTTCTTCTGGAGGTTAGCGTCACATTTACTTTACTTATACATGTTAATAGCAACATTTTTTTGCTGAAACCGAAACGCCCCAGTGATTTTCTGAGCTGTAACCATCAAACAGACCTCTATCCGTGTTTGCTCGGCCACTCCCTAACCCCAGTCAGTACCTGCTTTTCTAATTTCCTCCTCTAGGGTTGCTAACGTTAATAGAGAAAAATCCTGACTCTGTGGTGCAGTGGAAGCCCGGGGCAGTCAGAGTGCCAGTGACAGAGGCCAGCCGTCCACCACTTCTGGGTGTCCCTGCTGAAAGCCGTCAGAGTCCCTCAGAGCCTCCCCACCTTCCCCTGATGTGCTCTAATTGCATCACCAGGGCTCAGTGATACAAACTAAGAGATTAACACTGACAGGAGACGACAAACTAACATACAGACTTCATTTAGATTTCACCAGTTTTCCCGCTCATATGTTTCTTCCTGCACCAGAAACCAATCCAGGATGCCACAGAATATGCTGTTGTCATCAGGCTTCCTTAGTCAGCTCCCATCAGTGGCAGTTTTGCAAGGTTTCCTTGTGTTTCTTGACACTTTGCGAAAGTTCTGATTGGTTATTTTGTAGACTATCAAACCCTTCCTTTCCATTAGGGTTTGTGTGGTGTTTACGTCCCTGAACACATGGGGGAAGGACAGGGAATGTCCCTTTTTCACGATACCGTATCAGTAGGGTATGACACCACAACAGACAGCTGATGTTGACCTTTGTCACTGGGTTAAGGTGGTGTCTGCCACGTTTCACTACTCTGAGGTTATTAGTTTACTTTTACATATTCTATCTGTTAGAAGTAAGTCATTAAGTTCAGCCCATACTTGGGATGGGCAGGAGAAGGAATGTCCTTCCTTCTCTGGAAGACCTAGTATCAAAGAAGTTTTAGATATTCAAGCCACCGCAGTAATATTTTTGGATTTGTGGATTTTTTTGAGACAGGGTCTCACTTTGTAATTAAGATTGGCCTTAAATTCATTATGTAGCCCAGGCTGGCCTTCAACTTGAGAGCCTCCTGGCTCAGCCTCTTAAGTATTAGATTATAGCTATGGACCACCACACCAGGCTATTAACTACTATTTTTAAATAGGTACTTTCAGACTACACAAAGGTTCTGTTTCTCCTGGTAGTTTTATCCACTGCATTTAGCAGACATCGGTGAACCTGTCCTATGGCAGTTATTACTATGGAGGTCAAGTGATGATTTTCTTTTTTTAAAAATTAAATTTATTTGGTTTTTTGCTGTACAGTTCAGGCTACTCTTGAAATCATTGTGTAGCCTAGGCTGGCCTCAAACTCGCAGTGATCATCCTGTTTCTGGCTCCTGAATGCTGGGATTACAGGCATGTGCCACCATGCCTGGCTCAAATGGTGATTTTCTGATCTTTTCATTCTTCTACTTTTGTATTTGGGCTGTTTCATAAGAACATAAGAGGGCCGGGGTTTCAGCTCAGTGGCATAAGCACCTGCCTGGCAAGCACACAGTCTTGAGTTCCATCCCTGGTGCCAAAAAAAAAAAAAAAAAAAGAACAATTTCATGTTCCCTAAGATCAGAAGAACAGTCTTCCATAAGGGCACTCTGTCTCTCCTAGTCTTGTATTTATTTCTTTATTCAGTTAATTATTTATATCAGCATGCACTGATGGATTTGTATGTTTTTCTTTTTAATCCAATGCTGTCATTATTTTATTACTCAAATTATTCTAGTTTTGGACACAGGGAGCTTTTCAGCCTTGATCCTATGATCTTTGCACATGATCCCCTCCCTTTTCTGTGTTTTGCATTGTGTAAATGTGTGTGTTGGTTTGTACACTACTTTACTTCTTGTCAGCATGACTCCAGGCCCCGTGTGTATTTTGCAGCCCCTGCTGCCCCAGGCCCAGGCCCGATCATTCTGCCAAGGGCCTCCGGGGCCTTCTAAGTGTACCTGCTGGATGCTGCTTATGCCACTTAGGTCCTGCAGCAGACCCTGGCCTCATGAGCACCTCTTGCAGTGGCAGAGTCCAGTAGGGCCCTTGCATTTCAGAGTTTGTGAATTTGGACAGTTTGTTCTAGGAAGCCCAAGCTCTCTCTCTGAAATGAGGAATAACAGTAAAAGTGCTTCCAGAAGAAGGGTTGGCTGCAAGGATCACAGGTGGAGGCGGGGGAGGCAGCCGCACGCCTGTCATCTGTTGCAGTTCTCGGCATGGACGTGCTGGTGATGGTGGAGACCTGCAGCTTCCGGTGAGGGGAGCTGGTTTCCAGGGCACCAGCTCTGGGTGCAGACTGCCTGGCTGTGTAACCTCAGTAACACTCTCTGTGCCTCAGTTCCCCATCTACTGATGATTTAGAGGTGTTTTCTTCTGAGGGAAAAAAAATGAGAGAAATAACTATGGCTACACCATAGAGCTTTAGAGACTGAAGGAGTCAGGATACACTAAGCACGAGAACAGGGTCCAGCAGGTGGGAAGACGTGTGGATGGTTAGCTGTCATTGTTTCCATTGTGCACTAAACCTCTGGCTCTTTTGGTGTTACCCTACCTTCAAAACGGTAAGCCAAGGATTATGGTAATACAAATTAAACTATCTCATTTTTCTTGATTTAAAAAACTATGATGTTTAAAGGCAATAATGGTGAACGCCATGCATTTTTATCCTTAGAAGGAAGAATAGATGAATTCAGACTCACTAGTTTGATCACCGCCCTGCGCCTCCAACACCTTCTCCTCCGAGGTGTTGACAAATGGCCCGGACAAAATTACTTAGTTATATTTGTCTCACACTGATGCATGAGGCCCGAATGGCCAGTGGCTTTGGGGAAACTCTTTGTAAATCCATCAAATTTAGCTATTAAAAATGATAACTGTGATCAGCCAATGCCGAGGGACCCATTTTGTGGAAGAAAGAAATGGAACCAAAACAGTTAGTGACCCGGTAATTAGGACACCAGGGAGACTGCTGACAATTTGAAGATGTTTTCTCAGATTTATCAAATGCCTTACAGTTTGCAGGACATTAATAGGTAATTAAATTGGCAATTTATTGCCCCTGAGTAATACTTGTGGCCCTCTCCACTGTGTATCACAACTAAATGTCTGAAGGCAGTTCTTGCTCTGTCTTAAGTGCAGGACAGAAGGGCATGAGAACGCTTTCCTTCCCACTGGGCTTTCTTTCAAGAATGTTGGGATTTTCTTACTGTCAGTGTGAAAGCACAGCCATAAGTACAATCTCTGGCTTGGTTACTGTCATAGTCAAGAAGATGCAAGTCTTTCAGCATCAAAGACTGGTGAATAAAATTTCTATCAGGCACTGGTTTCAATGTCTGATATATATATTTTTTGAGACACAGCTTTGCTATTTAGTGTATGCTGATCTCATACTCTCAGTGATCCTCCTGTTTCAGCCTCCTGCATTCTGGGATTCCAGGCATGTGCCACCAGACCTGATGAGACCACTAGTTTGGACTGAGTGCCTGCACTAAGCTCAGATGGCCAAAACAAATCACAGCCACTTCTGCTGAAGTTCCTCATCACCGAGCCGAAACGAAATACTTACCTGACTTTCTGAGAAATCAGAACAGAGAGAAATGATAGTGAAATTCCCTGATAAGCCAGTTTTAGCTGGCATGGTAAAAGGTTCCCTCTGCTTTAGTCCTGCAAAGTGCCTTTGAAGTAACCATCCTGCATGTCATTTTCTGATTCTGCTTCCCTTAGTTTTTGTTATAAACCAAATTTCTTTGTTCTGCTCACTGAGGCACTAGGCTGAAGTTTTGTCTAATTCTAGGCTGGCAAATAAAAGCCAATGAAGATCTTTGAACTAAATCTGTTGCTATTTTGTCTTTGGCAGGCCTAAAGCAGATGAAGATGCTAAGTGACAAACATCTAGATCCCCGGACACCAGCTGGACAGGTTAGGTTCTACTGTGGCTGGAAGGGCCTGTTAGGGCCAGGCCCCAGGGGACCGGAAGACACAAACAGGGAAGCTTTGACCTACTCCCAGCGACAATGGGAAGCTCCGGAGTGACATGAACAGATTTGTGCCTCAGCCATGCTGGTGGCTGCACAGAGGATTCAGGAGCTTCAGGACTGAAGGAGGAAGCAGTTACTACTGATGCAGCATCTGGACGAGAGTGCTAAGCAGGGCAGCTCCCTGAGGTCCAGGGAGATAACATGTCCGAGACCACTGGACCTGCATGGGGAGGAGGAAGGGCGGTTTACGATGGCCCTGGTTTCTGGCGTAGGTAGCAGTTACATACACAAGGGCAGGAATAATGGAGGAAGTGCAGGATTTGAGGGTAGGGGACACACTTGGTCACTCACATGATGAGCAGGAGGCAGCTGTCACCCTCTTGGAGATATCTGCTCCTTAGATCTGGTGACATGGAATTCAGGGTGCAGGGCTTGAGAAATGGAGTTGAGAGTCCCAGGGTCCACAAGATAGTAGCAGGCACAGGTGACCTCATCCATGCTTTTTTTCAATAAAATAACGTACATTTCGTACTGTAGTAAGATTCATCTAAGAATCACCATACTAGCTTATGTGATGGTGCATGCCTGTAATCCCAGCACTCCGGGAGGCTGAAGCAGGAGGACCACAAGTATGAGCTCAACCTGGGCAAGTTAATTACTTAGTAAGAACTTGTCTTAAAAAAAAAAAGTTCGGGGTGGGGGCTAGAAATATATCTCATTGAAGGCCCAGGTTCAATCTCCAGTACTGAAAAAACACAATCAATCACCATATGCAGTCTTAAAAGTACACAGCTCAGTAGCATTTAGTATATACTTAGTGTTTTACAGTTATCACTCCTGTCTAGTTCTTGAATATCTTCACCACTCCAACAGGAAATTGTGTAAGACTTCACCTCCCCATCCCTCGCTCAGCCCTAGCAACCACGGATCTGTTTCTGTCTGTACCGATTTGCTAATCCAGACATCTGGTGTAAATGGGATGATATAATGTGTGGCCTCGGGTGCCTGGCTTTTTTTTCCACTTTTGCATCCACGAATACACATTCACATTTCATTTATACAGCCAGAAACATTTCATAATATTTTTAGGTTTCCACATTGTCCTCTGTATTTGTACTGTTTTCTTTTTTATGGCCGATGTAGGTCTACTAGTTTGTCCTTTCATTGGTTGATGCACAAGTGGGTCATCTGCAAGGGGTTAACTTTTAATAAAGTAAGGAAGGGGAAGGAGCCCTAAAAAGGAGGCCAAGAGAGGAAAATCTGAGAAATAGGGGAAACAGCACCCCAGAGAGAGGATAATGTCAGGAAAGGAGGGTTTGGTAAGCAATGTTAAATGTTCAGAAAAATAATGAAAATTAGCCATTGAGAGGGTTTGACCCAAGGAAAGACGTTAGAAACTTTGATACAAGCCGTTTGTGTGGGCAGATGAGGGTAGAAGGTGACAGACCAGGCAGGATGTGGCTTGGGGCAGGGACACAGGAGACCTGACGCTGAAGCAGAGGAGGGCGGGAGAGGAGGGTGCGCAGGCTCCTCCGTGAAGTGGGCTGTGCTGTTTACTTGTCTGGAGAGACACAGAGAGGAACAGGAGCTGGCGGCTGGAGAAGGGGACAGAAGTGCAGTTACAGTCACTGCACCCGCTGTCACCTGACATCTGAATGTGTCTGTGGATGGGGGCCTCTAGCATGACTGAGAGCTACTGATGACCCTGTGGACAAAGACAGGAAGCACTGGGAAGCAGAGGAGACAGTGTCCCTCACATAGATAAAGAGTGGGCTTGGCCATCAAGGGCCAAGAAAGATCAGTCCTGCAGCGGTGACCCCCTAAGACCCAAGGAGTTCTGTAGTAAAGCAACAGAGATCTGCCTGACTTGCTTTAACTAGATGATTTCCGGTCATCTCCTTTTTCATTTTGACACCTCATCTTGGATTTGTAACATCCCCTCCTCTCGGATGTGCAGACACAACTCTATTTAAATGACGCTAGACTGCAAATGTCCCAGTTGGCGACAGTCTGGGGGTCTCTCCCAAGGCCCTGCTGTAACAGCAGCAGCAGACGCAGCTTTCACTGTGGTCTTGTTGGGGAGTTAGGATTAAACTATCACATTTCTTTTTCTTCGTTGGACCCTATATCTCTGAAGAGCTAACACCTGCATTTGTACGGTATTTAGTAGTTTACATTGTCACATGCATTATCTCAATTTCTCCTTACAATGACCCTGAGGGAAGGAACTGTTATTTCATTTTAGACATGAAATGTGCAGGGACTGCTCTGTCTGCCTGCCTCCCAGAGTCGGCCAGGCGATGCCTGGGCTTAAATCATCTATTCCAGATCTGATGTTCCTGCCACCCCGCTCCCATCACACACACAGTATTTAGTTTTTTGGTCAAATAGAGTGTTGGGGTCCTAATCTCCTGCCCTCAAGCTGACGCAGTGACTCTACTGCTGTCTAGCAAAGACTTCTCTTCTTTCTGGTTTTCTGAGGTGGGGCTGGAGCTACCTGGTCCAGGCTGTCCTTGAAATTTCTGTGTAGCCTAGACTAGCCTGAACTCCAGATCTTCCTGCCTCAGCCTCCTGTTCACAGGGATTACAGGCCTGTGTACTGTGCCTGGCTTCCTAGTGAAGTCTTGAGGACTCCCAAGGAAGGCACAGCTGCTAGGTCCACGCACGCCTCACTTTCCTGGTCCTGAGTGAGATGCAGAAGGGTCCTGTCCACTCATGCCACATGCTGTTTGTGCAGATTTTGGGTCTACAAACAGCAAACCTGGGTGTGGGGCCCAGACATCACTGCCTGCAGCTCCCTAGAGGTCAAAGGAAGGTCAGAGGGTGTCTTGGGCATTGTGGCCTGGGCCCGCAGAGCTGAGGATGATGGGGCTGGGGTGCACACAGTTCAGCAGATTCCTCACTACCCTCTGGGGACTCCTGGGGACAGTTGGGTGGTGCTCAGTAGGACAGGGCCCACAGGACAGGGGCTCTAGATGTCCCTGCATGTGTTTGTAGGCAGGTTTTGGGGCTGGGTGATGGGGTTATGCGGCTATGGCTGACTTGTATTAGGAAGTGGGGTCTGGTGGGAAGAGGCTGGTCACCGGGGGTGACCAGCAAGTGCTCACTCCCTTCCTGCTCCTCACTTCACTGCCCAGCTGCCTTGCCTCTTGCCTCAGAGCCAGCCAACTATGGGCTGAAATGTGAGCCAAGATAAACCTCCCCTCCCTTAAACTGTGAGTGTCAGGTATTTTGCCCTAGCGGAGAGAAAAGTGACTAAGACAGCCACTCAGCACCGAGCCATGGGAGCGCTCCACACCAGCCTGGCCTTCTGTGCCGCCCTGCCCAAGCTGAGCCCCTGGGTGCTTAAAAATAGATACGCGCTGTGTTTGTTCTCCTTCTCGCCTACCCTCCACTCCCAATTCCAGGGTACAAACTCAGACATGTTCTACTAACACTTGACTGGATGCCCCTTTCTTTGTGCGTTCTCCTTGGGCCTTTGGGCTTCTCCTAGAAGGCTGCACTGAGAGCCTGACTCTGGAGGCAGACTTTCACTAACTAGTTTTAAGACTTGCTGAATGTTATTTAACCTTCTTACCACACTGTGTGTGACTGTAAAATTGGAGTGATAAAAATAATACCCTCACAAGTTTGACTAGAGGACTGAATGAAACTATTTAAGTAGAGCCTACCCAGTATCTTAGCGTGTGTTGTGTTGCTATGACAGTATTCTTGAGCCTTCATGATTTATAAAGAAATTTGACTCACGATCCTGGAGGCTGAAAAGACCAGGAGCATGGTGCAGGTGTCTGGTAAGGGCCCACATGCTGTGCCAACCCCGGGAAGAGGGCAAAAGGCAAAGAGGATGGGAATAAGGGAGCAAGAGAGGGGTAGACCCACTCTGACAGAAAAGCCACTCTTTATGATAATCTACTCTCCCACGAGAACAATAATCATTAATAAGGACAGGACTCTCATGACCTAACTACCTTTGATATGGCTCTGACCGGCGCAGCCCCCCAATGAGACAGAGGACGTTCTTGTGGGTAACAGGAACTGCCGCTTTATTTACGCGGGCTCTGGTTTATATATTTGGCCGTGACCAATCACAGGCTGCCACAAGGAAGCAGGGCGGGAATGGGACGCAGGCTCTGGCTACTATACCCAGCTGTGGCCAATCAGGGGTTGCCACAGAGTCAGCACGGGGCGAATACGGAGTGAGCACGAGGTGAGCACGAGGTGGCTAGTTTAGAGAGGGATGTAACGCATTGCGGAAGCTGACGTGGTCCTTAGTCCCAGGTGGGGTATGGTATGTTGAGCGCCTGCGCCCAACATGGCTCCACTTATGATTTGTATCTCAAATGTCCCCCAAAGTCTGATGTATTTCAGAAGCTGACTGGATCAGTCATAAGGGGCTACTGTGCTCACCAGTGGGTTAACATACTGCTGAGTGCCTAGCTGAGCATACCCCTAGGAGCTGGAGTCTGCCCTGAGGGGGCAGGCCACTGGGAGTGTGACCAGAATGGTATTTGTCTCCAAGCTAGTCCCCTCTCTCTGCTTCCTGGCTGCCACAGTTCCCCCACCATGCCCTTTCACAGGGCCTTTTCTACCTGGAACCAGCCAGCTATGGACTGAACCCTCTGAAACCTTGAGCCAAAGTAAGTTGTAGGTGTTGGGTATTTTGTCCTAGCAAAGAAAAGTGAGTTTTTCAATCTCCCAAGATGGTTGCATTGAGCAGTAAGTTTTCAATACATGAACTTTGGGAAATACATTCAAACCATCTAGTCTTATCTAGCAGAGTCAAGAGCCCTCTTTCTCCTAAGCTGCCCTCGGTTTTTCCCTGTTCCTAACTCATTACAAAGAGGTTGCCTGACAGTATGTTTCCTTTGTATATAAATAGTTTCCTCAATCTATCTTTACATATTTTAAACATAGTCACTTTTTCTTTCAGAGATAGGGATTGAACTCAGGGACATGCGACTACTGACCAGTTAATTTTTTTTTTGGAGAAAGTCACCCTAGATATCCTTCAATTTGTGATCTTCCTGCTTCAGCCTCCCAAGTAACTGTGATTACAGATATTCACCACCATGTCCCACAAACATAGAAACTTCTAAATATACTTAAAGCCACTAGCTCAGTACATTGCACACAGGTCATATTCCTTTTATTTTTGGTACTGGATTTCAAACTCACAACTTCATACTTGCCAGGTGTGGGAAGCCCTGTAGTTGGCTGCCACCTTAACATCTGCAGGCCGCACCACCTTAGCTCCCTCTAGGAGTTAAGTCTGGTAGTTAAGCAGCACCTTGCCTACCTAGCTTGTTTGGCCTATTCAGCAATTATGTTAGTCAGCCCGCCTTATGAGCCGTGCTGGGAAATTTGAATTGACCTATAACCTTTGGTCTTGCCACTGTTGCTAAGTTACCGGCTGCTGTCTCAGAACCCAAATCCCTCCTCCTCATCGATACCCTATATATTTGTTTCTCCTTCCGTGAATAAACGAGACTTAATTGGACTTCATCTTGTCTCCACCCTTTGTGTCTCTTGTTCCTTTTCATCCCCACGCCCCCTCTAGGGTCCTCTGTGGACATACCTGCAGGCGGGACAGCCAGGCAGAAGCTTACAAGTCTCTGAACCTTTCAGAGACCGAGTGCCCAAACTGCAACCCAAAACCCACTCATTTATCACCAAATACCAGCACTGCAATTAAATCTGAATAGTGAAGTTTTACTTTAAAAAAAAAAAAAAAAAAAAAAACAACTGATGCAAGGCTGCTGGGCCGGCCTGGCTCGTGTGCGGATCGAGACAGCTCCGTGTGCCAGCTGCGGCGCATGCGCCTTTGGTTTGCGCCCCCCACCGCCGTGTAGCTCTATGTAAAGTAAAAACCACCGGATGAGAACGCACCCTGTGCTACAGTGGATACCTCACTGTAGTGGGGTTTTGAGTGATTTTTCCCTTCCTGCTTTATACTTTTGATCTTTTCTACACCTGGAATACATGCTGTATATACATATTTTGTATGTGTTATCGAGTTACTCTAGAAAAGTATTACAAATATGTTAGTTTTTGTATCAGGTGTGATTGAGATTTATAAAACAAACATTCCTCCAAATTTTTATTTTTGCATAAGCCACATAACTGTACATTCATTCCCCATCAGTAGATGTCAGGTTCGGTGTGTCGTCATCTGAAATTCCCTTTTTGGCATAGATTAGCCCCACCCTTCTCACTCTAGCTTTATGGTTTCTATGCTTTGTTTTCCTACAGTGAGAAAACAGCCACAATCTCAGCATGCAGTTCTGTTTGCCTTTGAAGTTTATTTTCCTAATCTTATAGTTTTCTAGCCCATGACTTCATTTGTCAGCAGTTTTTCTTGTTTATTTTTTAGAGGCCTTTTATAGTCTTCCCAAAGCACTTAACTTTATTTTCCTAATCTGAGGTTTTTTGGTTCGAGGGATTTTTTTTTTTTTTTTTTTTTTTTTGGTGCTCACATTTCATTGTTTTAAGTAATAGGCATAGACATGCTTAAGAACAAATAACGGAGTCTAAACAAGTGACTCAGCTGAACTGTACTGTTGCTTCATTTTTACAATGCTGGTCATGACCCAGTGAATTTATTTCACTCCAGTAAATCTGTCCAAGGACCTCCAATTTGAAAACCGCCATGTTCCTGAGCAGCCTTCTAGCAGGCAGGGTGGGTGGGGCGGGGAGAGGGGCTGTCAGAGAGGGACAGAGATCCGAGGTTAATCCGGAGAGGTGTTAGGCAGTGCTCTGCTAAGAGCTTCTACTGCATTTCAGTTTCTCGAGATTACATTTCTGGGTCCACCCCAAGAATTTGGGAATCTCACTGCACTCTGACGTTGGCTGTTATGGGTTGAGTTTCAAAGATGCCTGACCTGGATCTAAAGCTGTCAAGCATACAGTCAATGCTAATGGCCCACAAAGCTCACATTACATAGCTGAAGCAACCATCACCGAACCTGTGGATTGATAAAAAGTCTAAGATAATCTAAGTAAACATTTTTCCCTGTTTGTGGCAATGTTTGAAGTTTCTAAGACTCTCCAGTTAAATCTTACCCCTGTATTTTTCTCAAGGACACAGAACTTGAAAGATACTTGATGGAGCTAGGAAAGGATATAGTAAGCAAGAATATCTAAACTGAAATCTATGTGAAGCAGCAGGTAAGACGACTTGGGAACTTGCTGTGGCCGATGAACACCCCAAGGAGGGAGTCAAGACCGAGAACAACGATCATATTAATTTGGAGGTGGCCGGGCAGGATGGTTCTGCAGTTCACTTTAGGACTAAGAGACACACATCACTTAGTAAACTGACGGCAGCCTACTGTGACGACAGGGTTTATCAATGAGGCAGACCAGATTCTGATTTGATGGACAGCCAATCAATGAAACAGGCACAGCTGCACAGTTGAAAGATGAAGATACAGTTGATGTGTTCCAGCAGCAGACAGGAGGTGTCTACTAAAAAGGGAACTTGTACCAACTCTACTCCAGAACTCCATTCTTACAGATCAAGCATACATTCTCAACAAGAACACCACCATCTGGTTCCACCACATCCAGTTCTCTCTAGTCTTTCATTCACCCCTTCCCATTCCTTTATTATACATAAAGTATCTAATGTATGTGCATGAGCATATTGCAGTTTATTTTACTAAATGGCCAATAATGTGTTTTGATTGACATTAAATGGAGATGAAGTGAGGAATTACTGGTTCTGTGAAAATAATCCCCTTTCTCCATTAGTGGAATGGTCATCAGCTCTTATCTTTATATTCCAGTGAAGTTATTTTGCTCCCACTGTTTTAACAGAAAAAACAACACAAAAATCCTTATATATCTTGTTTGATTGGGGAATCTTAATGTTTTTCACTTATCATTGTAAAACCAAGGACAATTTTGCAACTTTTTTTGTACATAGCTGTTAGATGTAGGGCAAATTATTCTTTAAAAAAACAGATTCCTAGTTTTCCCTTTAAGTCAAGTGTCTTGTTGCTTAAATAAACTTCTTGTTTAAAAAATAAAATAAATTGAAATCAGGACATTTCTTCTTGGTGGAGGCTCCCAGACATGAAAGGCATCAACTGGGGCTGTGCTGTTAGCACAGTCAAAGCAGGTAGATGTTCCCCTGGGTCGGCAGCTTTATTTACCCAAGTCTTTAAGCCTGGGTCTCAGAACTTCACCTTTGCAGAACGCCTGGGAAAGAATGGATCATCAGTTGTAAAATACCAGGAATCTTTGCTTGTGACTCAAGTATTTTTATTCTATTATTATTATTACTATTATTAGTGAGACAGAGTCTCTATATGCAGTTCAGACTCGCCTTGAACACACCGTGATCCTCCTTGCCTCAGTCTCCTGAGTCCTGGGATTATGCATGTACACCCCCACTCCCAGCAGTCTAATCCCTTTTAATAAGGTCACATATTATGACAGCTTCTTTTTTGAAGATGCTGGGCCTGGGCCCTTGAAAGTAGGTGTGATGTGGAGGCTGGGAGGAAGCAGGGTGTCTCCTGGCTTCTCTGTTTTTCTGAAGTTTTCTGAATCTTCTAAGGTGATATACCCTCTTGCAGTTCTACAGAGAATCCATAATGTCCAAGGGAAAAAATCAACCAATTCTGCAGTGTATCTTAGTTTGATTTCTGTTGCTATAACAAAACACTTAATGCTGGGTAATTGATGAGGAACAGTATTTGTCTTTTTGGTGGGAGGGGGTACCAGAAATCAAACTCAAGAACTCACAATTGTCAGGAAGGCTCTGTGCCACTGAGCTACAATCCTGGCCCATGAAACAGTACTTGATTGTCTCCTGGTTCTGAAGGCTAGGAGTCTGCCAGCATGGTGCTGGCATCTACTTGGCATCCGAAGGCCTTGTCCTGCACCACAACATGGCGGGGGCACGACAGTGCAAGACCAACCAGAGTGCCAGCTAGGATCTCTTTTCCTCTTTGCATAAAGCCACCAGCGCCTTCCTGGGGCCTCCATCCATGTGGATTCATTTAATCCTTATCGCTTGTGGGACGGTGTCTGTCCTGGATGTACACCCAAAGCCTCATGGTGGGGCTTTTGGGAGGAGACCCGGTCATGGGGGTGTGATGTGCATCATGGATTAGGGGCACTGGCGACTTTATAGCTAGGCATGATGCTGGAGGAGGGGTGGGTTACTGAGGGTGTGGCCTGGAAGAATATCTCCTCCTCTTCCCTGTATGGTTCTCTTGCTTCCCGCTGTGATGCCATGAGCCGTCCTCCTCTGCCAGGCCCTCTGCCACGTCAGCCTGCATAGGAGCCAGCTGACTACAGACAGAAACCTCTATAAACTGTGAGCCAAAATAAATCTTTCCGCCTTAGAGTTGTGAGTGATGGGTATCATGTCTCAGTGATGAGAAAATAACCAAGACAACTTCCTGGAGGCCTCTGCTCCATTGCTATTAACATATAAATTTTGGGATTAAATTTCCCATGCATGGACTTTTGAAGTACACAGTCGAGTCACAGCAAGACCTCATAGGTGAATGAGCACCGTCTTGTAGCTCTCACAACTTGCGGCATCAAAGTGCCCAGCTTCTCCAAACTGATTCGAGCCATCCTCACTCACTGCGGACTTTGAGAGTGAGCAGACTCTTGCTCACTGCGGGACGCTCTTCTCCAGCATGTTCTCCTGGACTCGCACTGCTGAGCCCTTGGCACCCAGGGAACCAGTCTAGTAACCAGAAAGTTGATTAATTATTAAATGGCCAACATGACCACAGGGTTTTTGTTTGTCCTTTTGTTTTGGAGCTAGAGATTGAATCCAGGGCCTCGAACATGCTGGGCAAGCACTCTCCCCTTGAGCTAGACACCCATACCCCCCAAAATTGTTTGGCAATCTCAAAATCTCAAAACAGAAATGGACAGTGGTAGGGGTGGAACTGTGTCCTCCCAGTCCTAACCCTTAGTACTTTAGAATATGACCTTATTTTGAAATAAAGTTGTCACAGATGTAATTAGCTAACATGAGGTTGTACTGGAGTAGGGCGTGGCCCTAATAAAGAGAGAAATTGGGACACAGACATGCACAGAGGAAGAACACCATGTGAAGATGAAAGCAGAGATTGGGAAAGCCAAGGAATGCCAAGGATTGCAGCACCTCCAGGACCCAGGGGACCGGCGGAGAGCCCAGTGCTGCCTGGGGCCCTCAGGAGCCACCGCTGCGAAACCTGGATTCCAGACTCCCAGCCCCCAGCACTGTGGGACAGGGAGCCCCAGCCATCCAGCCCTCCGTGCAAACACACAGCTGGCTCAGAGGACAGCTCCACAGGGTAGAGCACCACAGGGCTGCCTGGCCCTTGTCATCTCTTGGTCAGTACCGGGCAAAAAGCTCCCCAGATTTTGTCCTTTTTATCGGTACCGGGGATCGAACTCACGACTGCCTGCTTTACAAGGCAGGTGCTTATGCCGCTGAGCTAAATTCCAGCCCCAAGACTTTTCTTCTGATGTGTTAATACCTCCACTAGATCCCGATTCGCTCAGCCACATTCTGTTTATATCTCAGGCTGTGTTGTTCCCCTGAGGCCTTTATACAGTCCTCACACTATGCTCAGTTCTAGTGAATAGGGGACCCCCCCCCACCATTGCTTTTTTTTTTTTTTTTTTTTTTTATAGAAAGAAAAAGACAGAAAGCCAGGCAGGATGGTGAATGTCAGCAATCCCACCACTCAGGAGGCTGTGAGTTAGAGGTCAGCGAGTTGGAGGTCAGCCTGGGCTACACAGCAAGCCCTGTCTCGAAAAAGAAAATCATATTTATGGCTTCTCTCCCTAGAGATTATGGTTGGACTGTGGTGGCACAGGAATAAGCATGTTAAATGAGTACCACAGGCGCTAATCCTGTTGATTAGCCGTTGGTCCTTAAGGAGTTCTTGGAGAGCAACTTAAGTTCCAAACTTGGACCCCACTTGTTCCTGCTCTGTAATGCTCGCAGCTTTGCCATTGCGCATGTCCTAAGAACTCAGATGTAGATCTGCAGCCGGGAGCCAGTTCCATTCACTCTTTCATTCACCAGTCTTCTTTTCTTTTCTTTCTTTTTCTTTTTTGTAGCCACTTTGCACAAAAACACAGTACTAAGGCCTGAGAACACATCAGTCAAACAAACTTCACATTCTAGTTGGAGGAAAACAGTAAATCAATACCTAGAGCAAGCAGCTAGCAGGCTGCGGTGAGGTGAGGGCAGGCACGGCGGGCCGCAGTGCAGAGCTGGCCGCCGCCGCAGGCCGCCTTCTCGGGGTTCTCTGCACCGCGGCTCCCAACCGGCTGTCTAGAAAAGCGCCTCCGGCAGAGTAGAGGGGCCGGCCAGCACGAAGTCCCTGACCAGCAGCGGAACACGTGCGGTCTGTTTCCAGGAACGGTGAGGAGCCCGGGGTGGCTGCGCGGCAGGGAGAGAGCCAGCAGGGCGGAGCTAAAGTTAGCAGCGTGGGCGGAGTCAGCGAGCCAGCGAGGGCACCGCGAGGGCACCGCGAGGGGGCTGGGCTTCGCTGGGGGGGGGCTTGGGGGTGGAGCAGTAAGGAGGTCTGACTTCCTCCCCCTCCCCTCCTCTCCTCCTCATCTCCCCCCTCCACCTCCCTCCCCTCCCCCACTCTCCCTCCCCTCCCTTCTCCTCCACTTCCCTCCCCTTCTACTCCTCTCCTCCCTCCTTCCCCCTTTCCGCCCTCTCTTCCCCTTCCTCCTGTTCCCTTCCTCGCCCCTTTCCCCTCTCCTTTCCTCCTTTCTCTCTTATTCCTTTCCCTCCCTGTTCTCCCTTCTAACCCACTGAGCTACATCCTCAGCTTTTTTTTTTTTTTAAACTTTGAAATAGGATTGCCCTAAACTGCTCAGGCTGGCCTTGACTGTGTGATGCTTCTGCCTCATCTTCTAAGTCATAGGATTTTGGATCTGTTTCACCACATGTGGCCTAACGTACTTATTTTTCTTTCCTGGCATTTGGCTAGACTTGAATTTGTGATCCTCCTGCCTCGGCCTCCCATAGTGATGGGGTAATAGGTCTGAGAATTCTAATCTGAATAAACTTTGGAATTCGTGCTGGGAATGCTGAATAGAAGGAAGCATTCACAGAGGAAGTGTGGGGCTGGCAGGTTTCTGGCAACCATACCATCCCCATGAGGAGAGCTAGAGTGAGGGTGGAGACCGTGCTGTGTTTGGCAGGGCAGAGTGGCAGAAAGGAACTGGTTTTGAGACTCGTGCTGAGCCACTGGATTGCAATCCCAAGGCTGAACTACTACTGAATTTTCAATCACATGAACCAGTGAATCCCCTCTGTTATCTTATTTTCTGTGCCTTGTATCTAGAAGCATGCTTACTGCTTCTGTGACTCAAACTTGAGAAATCCCTTAGATGCATTGTTTTCCTAAAGAAACTTCTGAGACTTTATTAGAGTAGTTTTAGGTTACAGAAAATCAAAAGGAAAGTAGAGAGATTTCCCATACACCCCATCCCAATACATGCACAATCTCTATTGACACTCTGTTATCCTCAAAGCCCAGGGTTCCCAGGAGCCCCCTCCTGGTGGTGCATGTTCTAGGGGTTTGGGCAAATGCAAATGTGCAATGATGTATATCTGTCAATATATGTGATATATGCCACTGACAGCAGTAAGTGACATATATCACATATATTACAAAGTTGAGAGCAGAGATTAAGGAACTTACCCAGGATCAGAGAACCCTTCTGTTTCAAATTTAAGATTCACCTGGCTGATTCATTGTAATATATTATCACACAGAAGTGAGCTTTTCAGGAGGACACTATCTGGCTGGCTACTTCACCAATTTACAGTATACTAGGATGGATAAAAGGGTTCAGCTTTTACAGTTCCAGTAAGTTCTGGGCTTCTTCACTCAAGATTATGATGACTCGGAAAAGGATCGATTCATCATGACCAAATTTACGAGACAGTGATGTGTAATCCAGCTGTCAGATTATTTATGGTGGAAAGTGTTTCACACACTTGAGCATCTGTAGACACTTGAGTGTGTCTCAGTTTGACAAACATTTCATCTGAGTGACACATGAGAGTAGGCGCTCACTGGACCAACACAGTCACAGATGCAGGTCCTGTCCAGCCACTGACATGAATAACAGAGTGCTCTGTAAAAAGGTGATGATGTGAATGATGTTCGTGTTAAAGTCTTTAGAATCTCTTCAAAGAGAAAACAAAAAACACAGAGATTCTTCTTCAGAATCCAGGGCCTCTGCAAATGAGTCCAGACTCCAGTTCAAAAAGCTGCAATAGGCGGCGGCTTTGTCCAAAGACTGGGGCTGGAGGAACACACAGGATGCTCTAAAGCCAGCGAGCTCTCTCAGGAAACCAGGTTGCAGATTAGAAGGCAGATGTGCACGTGCAGGATGGACAGGAGTCCGCCGTTCTCAGAAATCTGCAGGACATGAGGTCAGCGAGTGATCCTGGCTGCGGTGGCTGCCGTGGAGCACAGAACACCTCTTTCTTGCATGATGCAGAGAAGCCTGTTCAGATTTTCACTCACCTCCTGAGGAGCCTCCCTGTCAAATCACCAGTTGTAGGTAAATAGGAATTGTGCCTTCATCTTACAAGGAGGAGAGTTGGGCAGATCATCGGAACTCCTCAGCCATGCTCTCTCCACCTAGCACATCACTAGTTTCTGACCTTTTAAATTTTATTTATTTATTTGTTTGTCTTGTTTTGAGACAAAGTCTCATTTTGTGGTTCAGCCTGGCCTTGAACTCTGGAGTGCTAGGATTTTAGGCATGTGCCACCACATCTGGTTTTGTTTCTGTCCTTGAATTAAAATTACAAGGGACCCTTGCACAGTATAGGTGATGGTGAAAGCAGTGGTTTTTTTGGTACCAGGGATCAAACTCACTCTTGCCACAGGTGCTTATGCCATTGCCCCTGGCCTCAGGGAAAGCCTTTACTCTCAGTCAGCGTTGTCTGCAGCAGCTGCACAGCTCCCGTTCCTCTCAGATCTTTTCCACCTCAAACCTCAACTGAGTTCCTTGTCCTGTGGCCCCCTGGGACAGGGGAGGAGAAGGGGAGTGGAGGGCAGGAAGGGGGGGAGGACAGGATGTGGCCAAAAGGTAGGGAAGGACCAGCCCTCCTGCTCAAGGCAAGGCTTCCTAGGTCCAGGGCCCACTCGCAGGCCCGCCACTCCCCACTTTGTTCCCAGCCCCAGAGAACAAGCGGGCACTTGCCAGGGGTAAGGGACTGCACTGAGGGCTGGGGGGGAGCTGGCATTGAACGCTGCCCACACGATCAGATGGCCACCCGGGTACAGCGGGCAACCCAGGATGCTCGGAGGCAGCTGGCTGCAGCCTAGCTTTGGTCTTGCCTGGCTCCTGGCCCAGAGGGCACACATGCAGTGGGCAGAGTGCGCCTAGGTCCCAGCACCGGCTCAACTGAGGCTGTTGGCGGGAAGCTGTGAGAGGAACGAGTGATATGCAGACCGCTGTAGACATAGTGGGAGAGAGCTGAGGGCCCCGGGCACCCCAGGCCCCCTCCAGGAAGCCCTCTCTGATTTACCACCCTTTGTTTTTCAATTCCCATACTCACTTTCCTCGACTCCTCTTCAAACACAAATGACTTTCTGATTTTTATTATAGTTGTTGATGAGCATTTCTTACCTACCTTACGAGGAAGTAAGGTGGGACAAATCGGCTTGGCTCTTCTCACAAGTTCTGTCCATTGTAGGCCCTGAGTGTTTGTAAAGTGAATAATAAATTGGAAGTATTGTATACTGTACACAAATTACAGAAGACTGGACCCTTCTGACCTCCTCACTGTCTGCACCCTTGTGGACCAGCAGGAAGCCAGCTTTCTTTCTGATTGGCCGGTGCCTAGGGACAGCCAGTTAAATAGCATGACTATCAGTCCTGTGCCGGAGAGGCAGCGCTCTGGCAATGGACAGAGAAGAGATGCTGGATACGAATGCACCCCAGAGCAGCACAAAGGTCTCCCTGGGCATTGAGGGAGTGAGGGGAGTTGGGGGAGCCAGGAATTGTTGGGATCCACAAAACAGGCAGTCATTCCGCCTTTCATGAATCGCTTGGGTGACGATGAGCAAAAACACATCAGCTGGAGTCAAGGGCTTGAATTCTAGCTCTGGTCACTTCATCTCATTGCAATTAATTCATCTACACATACGGGGAGGCTATCAGGACAGCTACGCTTGCTCAGGGGCTGTAGAAAGTCATGAATGGAACCCAGAGTGAGGACAGGTCAAGGAGAAAATGCCTGGGAGGAAGCTTCCATTCTTGCTGTGCTTCGATGGGAAATCCTACTCTAAACCAAGGCCTGGAGTCGAGGATCTTGTAAGACGTGGGAAAGAAACAAGCATATTTAACATATCATTAACCTGATACTGCAGTGTTTAATGTGCCCAGGAGTCTGGGGTATTTTTGCCTGAGAAAGGAACTGTTTCTTATCTGTTTCAATCACAATTAAACTATGCTGCGCTGGGGTTATAACTCAGCAGCAATGCGCCTGCCGGGCGAGTATAAAGTCCTGAGTTCGATTCTTAGTTCTTTAAAAAAAAAAAGTTAAGCCATGCTTCCGTTTCTTTGTGAAGATAGTTTTTGTTCTGCTAGTCTTCTGCGAGAACACACATTGCTAGGAGGTTCTGTCCAAGTTTGGTGTGGTTATTACCATCACTTTTCTGTTTTGTCACTTGTTGATCATGTTTTTCTGCACAAGCAGAATTGCTTAAGAGAAGAAAAGGAAATAATGCAATTGTCAGTAAATCCCCAAAAGCAGAAGTGGAGTTCCTGTCGCATGAGTTGTTAGGCACTGGGGCGGCACATGCTGGTCTGGGCAGCTCATGCCATGCTAGGTGAGCGAAGTGGGAAGCAATCGGGGCAGCCGGGTGCAGAAGGCTGGAGGGTGAGGGGCTGTGTCTTTGCACCCAGCTGCTGTGTAGCAGGAGACAGACCCAGGGGAGCCACGCGATAGAAGCGAGTCCTGGACTTGCTGATGCGTCAGCTGGTCAGATGCATGCTGTAGTTTAGGAATGTGGGAAGCTCTGCGGGGAACTTCCTCAAAGTGGGTTCTGTTCCCAGTCACACCCCTGACCTGTCCACCAGTAAGATCACTTCCTACCTGTGAGAGACTTTTGGGATTCCAAAGTCTTAAAAATCAATATATTCTAATAATCTGGACTCTGGAACAAGGCCTTCCAATTTTCACAATGTGCACTTCAAGGTGAGTTGTTATCATTGGTTACCTGTCAAATGTATCTAATTCATAATCCCCAGCCTCTTTTTGTTCCAGATAAAAGTCATAAATATAACATCAACTGGGAGATAAAAGCTGATGGCGGTGCAGTAGGACAGCTGACTGTTTTTCTGGAAAAGAGGATTTTGATAACTTTCATACAATACTTAGATTAATTTTTATTTATTTATTTCAATTTACAATTCAGGCTGTCTTGAATTTGTTTATGTAGCCCAGGCTGGCCTCTAACCCAGAGTAACCCTTCTGCTTCAGCCTCCCGAGTGCTGGGATTACAGGCATGAACCACCACGCCTGGCTCTTAGTTTAACTTTTAAAATTAGCTTTTTTTTCTTTTTCCCTCTGTGATGCCCACCAAACCCAGGATCTTTCAAAATCTAACCAAATTCCCTCCAACCCAGAGATACCTGCAGCCCTTCCTCTCATACACTACTAAAGTAATGCTAAGACTTGCTGGTGGCTATGAATTATCCCGTACAAATATTTGGTTTGTGTTTTTAATCTTGATAAGATAGCAGTGGTTACTGTGTTTTCAGAGAGAGAATAGTGCATGGAGAGAGACATGAATAAGTAGGATCAGAATTTAACAAGGGGAAACTTTCTCATATAGAAAGGATTTAAAGCCAGGCGTGGAGATGCATGTCTGTTATCCCAGCACTAGGGAGGCTGAGACAGGAGGATTGCCATGAGTTTGAGGCCAGCCTAACTACATTATGAGACCCTGTCTCCAAAAATAAGGCTTTACAGGATAGTAGTTTAGCACATTATGCCTCAGCAAAAGTAAGATTTATAATTGTTTTTGTTATTAAAATGCAAGTGTGCGAATGTGTCTCTAATTAGCTTTGTGACAAGACATTTCCTCCCCAGCTCTGCTTATACCAGATATAAGCAAATGCCTCTCTTCTCTTTTCTCTTTACTATTCTTTTCTTTTGGCAGGACTAGAGATTGAACCCATTTCAGGACATTTACACTGAGCTATATCCTCAGGCTTTGTTTCATTTTATTTTGGTTTGGCTTTGGTTTTTTTGAGACACAGTCTTGCTATGTAGTTTATTTTTTTGAAATTTTTATTTTAAAAAGAATAAAACCAAACAAAATAAAACAATAAAGTCAATCAAAACAAAACATTTTAAATGATACAGGATTTCAAAACAAGGTAATAGGAAGTCAGCAATAGTTACCATAATGTCTCTTGTCTTCAAAATAGCTGCCCATACCTTCAGATATAGTAAAAATTAAACAGAACAAAATAGAACCAATAAAAACAAAACAATGAATGAAATAAAAGACTTCAAAACAAGATAAATAAATCCAAATGGCTACCATAACGTATCTTGTTATTATTGTTATTTTTTAATGGGTACTGGGGATCGAACTCACCATGCACTTCCAAGGCAAAGCACTTATGCTGCTGAGCTAAATCCCTGGCTCCAAATATCTTGTTATCTTTGAAATAACTGCCCGTGCTATTGGATATAATAAAATCAAACAAGACAAAACAGAATAAAAGTCAACCCAACAAAACAATGAATATAGGACTTCAACAAGATAATAGGGAATGAACAATGGCTACCACCTTCAGAAGAAGATCCCCCACAGATGCTACATTGCACATTGCTATCCACTGAGTAGATGGTCAGACCACCGGCTTTACCCCTGCAGTCAGTGAAACTCTAAACACTACAAGCATTAAGCTGTATACACCTCAGTAGCCATCATCACAACCTGTGTTTCTCTGGATCAGCTGGTCACTTACAGCTGCGGAAGAGGGACACCTCGGTTCTTCTTATCTTCCAGCCCACCAGCTGGAAGGGGCTGGTGTCTCGTTCTCACCACAGTGGCCCACACATGGCGCTGACTTGCAGGGAGGTCTTGCTTCTCGTTGCATCTTGTTTTCCTCCTCTGCAGTCTGAGAAAGGCATCAACTGACAGGAAAAGGCTGGCGTCTGGCTCTCCCCACAGCAGCCTGAGCATGGCACTGACTCACAGGGAGGGCTTGAACTCACAGCAGTCTACCTGCCTCAACCCTCAAGTGCTAGTATTATAGGCGTGTGCCATCATACTGGCCTTATTTGTTAATTTTGAGACAAGGTCTCACTAAATTGTCCAGGCCAGGTTTGAACTTTCAGTCTTTCTGCCTTAGCTTCCTAAAGTGCTGGCATTACAAACACACAGCCCTGTGCCCAGTTGATGCATTGCTTTTGCCTTGACTTGACTGTTAAGGAAAACTTTATGTGCAGGTCCTGTATTGTAACTGAGGAGCAGCACATTTGTGTCTTCCAGCTCCCTGCCCAGTGTCACCATGTCAATAAGGCTTTGGCTACCTTATTTTAAATTGTGACACTGTCCCACCCATGATACCCACTGCTTTTTTACATGGCCCATATCCCCTTATAACCTATGAATTTATATATTACTTTTATATTATTTATTAGCTGTCTCTAATAGAAAGGAAGCTCTATGAAGACAGCATTGCTTGTGTTGTTCACCTGATAGATTTTTTTTTAGTGCTAGAAACGATGTCTGATATTTGCTGAATGGCTGAATGAAAGTCTCTGCCTGGGGCTTTCAAACTCTCTACTGTTTGTAGAATACTACCCACCCCAGCCAGGTCTGAGTTCATTATTTCCAGAACTCAGAGGCTGAGGCAGGAGGGTCATTGTGAGTTTAAAGCCAGCCTGGGCTACTTAGTGAGTTCCAGGTCAGCCTGAACTACACAAAGAGACCTCCCCACCAAAAACAATTTAATTAACTAATTAAATAAAATAAAAAATACTATCAACCTCTTGGCATCCTAAGGTGCATTTCTTTCTTTCTTTCTTTTTTTTGTCTTTTTCCTTTTTATTGGTACCTGGGATCGAACTCACAACTGCCTGCTTGTGAGGCAGGCGCTTATGCCGCTGAGCTAAATCCCCAGCCCCCTAAGGTGCATTTCTTAAAGGTAAAATCCTTGTGGATATAAGTGACCAAAGTATAGTTATAGTACTGATACAGTAATGGTGCTGAGTCACAAATATTTGGAATTCTAGTCACTCTTCATAGGTCATTATTATTATTACTATTTTGCGTGCCTGTGTGTGTGTGTGTGTGTGTGTGTGTGTGTGTGTGTGTGTATGATACAAGGGATTAAACCCAGGGCATTTACACTGAACTAAATCCCCAGCCGTTTTCTTATTCTTTATTTTAAGTTAGGATCGTGCTAAGTTGGTCAGGCTAGGGTTTCAACTTGTGATGCTCCTGCCTCAGCTTCCCAGAGGGCTGAGATTACAAGCATGTGCCATCACACCTCATTTGTTTTAGCCTTTTTTTAGAAGATGCAAAGAGCCACCTTTCACCTTTGCAGAGGGCATAAGATCAGAGCTCTCCCTGTTTCTAGAAAGTAAAGCCAACTCATTGTTCAGACGCTTTTGCTTCTGGCTACCCGGTCTCCACCGACTGTGAGGTTCTTCCAAGGAGAACGTACGCAGTGGTCCCCTTTCGGTTCACGAGTCTGACTAGCAAGAGGATCATGTAGGTTTGGCAAAAGAACTACTCTAATTTGAGGAGCTTTTTTTCCTCTTAGTCCCATGAAGATTACTTCCATCTTCTTGCTCAGACCAGTAGCCAGTTCCTTTGACCTGATGACCAGAGATTCTTTTTTTTTGTCTTTGTTCTGCTTTTTTGAAACAAGGTCTCACTATGTAGTCCATGCTGACCTCGAACTCACAGCAGTCCTCCTGCTTCAGCCTTCCGAGACTAGGATTGTAGGCGTGCATCACCATGTCTAAAGATTTTTAAAAGCAATTGTTTGTGCAGGAGAGCTGAACTGAGTATTTTCATAGTATCTCTGCATCTGAGTACCCTTGTGCAGATGAGAGGAGCCGCTTCTTCTCTTCCTGTCAATGATTCAGTCACGAGAGATGTGTGTTGTCCTTTGACTAAGTCCTGACTGTACACTCGACACTTCCCCTTGCTTCTGACCGGGAGCTCCATGCCCTGCCTAGCCTGTTCCTGCGTCCTTGCTGCAGTCCCCAGGGTCATCCTCTCTCACTCTGGTCCCTCTGCCTGTCCTCACCTGCACATCGACACCAGGCTGACTGTAGCTTTGCCTGGGCAGATCCAGCTTGAGAAATTCACTCCCAACAGCTCACAGAACTACGTCAAGCTGCTCCCTGAAGACTTCTGCCAGTCCTCCTGTGTGGTGATTTCTGCTGATTTGGAGCGCGCTGGCTCCTGCCTGATGGGATGAGCACTGTGCTGCAGTCTGCTTCTCTGTCCCTTTCCCCTTCCCCTTTCTCCTGTCGGCTTCCCTGGCTTGTGTTCTGATACTGTCTCTCTACCTTCATATGCTGTTTCCTACCCACCACCCATCCATTCACGTCGTGGGCTGTGTTTGGGGTCCTGGGGATATGAACGTGGCAATTTGGGGTACACTCTGCCCTTCTGCCTCAATTCAAGGCAATCCAAGTCATATTCTACCTTCAGGACTCAATTTAACCCTCTTCTTCCCAAAGGTTGCTTGACTCAGGAAAGCAGGTGAATGTTCTGGTAAAGAGCAAAGACTTGGATTTAGGAATTAGATACACATGGGTTGGAATTTGCTTTTTTTGTTTTGTTTTATTTTTTGAGACTGGGTAGCCAGTCTCCTGCCTCAGCCTCTGGAGGGCTGGTATTACAGGTGGGTACCACAATGCCTGGGTAGGTCAGAATCTGCTGGCCACAAAGTAGCTGTGGAACACTGGGCAGGTTCCCTAATCTTTTTAAGCTTCTTATCTATAGAGATCATAATTACCTCAGGGTTTTGTCATGAGAGTAGAGATAATAACTAATAGTGATATTGCTACCATCTCTGAAAACATATTGCAAAAAAATGTAAATAGATAATCTTATTTATAAGTAACTGTGAGGATGCCTGGTCACTTAAGAATGAGTGAGTAGAGTCTGTGCCTTTTTTATGCATCTAGAGAAACACCTTTGAGCTGCATAGTACTTGACTGCAGTGCGTAATGAACAAACACAGTGTCCTCACCTCTCATCTCCTGCATTTCCAGGACCTCAGGAACACCAGCTGTCCTCTCCATGCCCTTCTCCTAGTAAAGACAAGGCCTTCCTGTGGACCGACAGCCACCAAGATAGATGCAGACATGCCTCGGTCTGATCTGAGGCCAATGGGAGAAGGAAACTCCCACAAACTACAGGGCGCCTCGATTTCCCACTAGTGTTAAATGGCCATAGCAGAGCATAACCCGTGGCTTCAATTTGGTCTGTCAAAGACGGAATTAGAAGTAAATCTGAAATTTCACAACATGGTTCTATTATGGATGCTACTGTGCATTAAAATTGTCTACATAAGACTCATTGGGATGGGTAGCGATTCAATTGCTGTGAATGGCCTAAGGAAATGGGGTGGTGAGAATTAGGGTTATCCATCCCCGATAGGGGCAAGAGAGAGAACAGAAAATGTGTTTTCTTGCCTTGACATCTTGCCAGCTGGAGCTGGAGGGAAATGTTTTTGTGAACTCATTGAATAGCCTGCTCACAAATCATTGAAGTAGCCGCATTCAATGAGAATAGATATGAGTTTTATGTATTTGAATTGAGATTTGCTCCACCCATTCTGAGCTGTGCAGTGCACCCTTTAGGGACCCTACTGCATCTCCAGGTGGCCACTCACTGGCTGCGGTAAATGCAGTGATAACTGGTTATCTGCTGTGAGCCTGTTTATATATCCCTGGTTGCATTTTGGGAATATCCTAAGAAAAATATAATATGGCAAATACTACCAAATCCTGCATATTTAGTCATCAGCAGATAACTAAGATACTGTCTACCAGGCATAAACTTTAGGTGTGGCATCTGTTTTGGAATTAATAGGTTACATGGGTTTCAAATCAAGTTTTATATTTTCACAAAAGCTTTCACATGATCTCATCTGATGCTTATGACAAGCCTGAGGCCAGGGTAGAGTATATAAAGACCATCATTTTATAATAGAGAGGTTAGATTATTTGCCTGAGGTTGCACAGGTAGTTCAAGAATCCCAGGAGCAGTCATCAGGTGTGATGGCACACACCTGTGATTCCGTACTTGGGAGCTGAGGCAGGAGGATCACTGTGAGTTCGAGGCCAGCCTGGGCTACATCGTGTGTTCCAGGCCAGCCTGAACTGCGTAGTGAGACACTCAAAAAATAAAATAAATAATAAAAAGAATCTCTGGAGCCATTATTATTATTGGGATGATTATTATATTGACTCCTTGACATAATTCTGATTTCCTCTGTGCTGAGCTGTATAGAAAGATTTCAGTTTGCGTGTGCTGTGAGCTGCTTCAGTCTGTACTGAGCTGGGGAGCAGGGTCCTTGACTTTCACAGGAGTGGACAGCGCTGGGAGCCTGGCCTGTCCTGCCTGGCCTCTTTCCTAGTTTTCCTCAGGCCAGGCCTGGGTGGGATGGGTCGAACTGGAACCCTTTCTACATTTCATGTTTTTCTGGTTTCTAAAAATGAGAGTGGCAGGCAGCCCCTGCAGCAGGAGGATTTGTTCCAGCTAGGAGTTTCCTGCCAGCTCCTCCAGTGGGAGGATCTGCCTGTAGGGCATTCCTGCTCCCAGCCACCAGCGTCACCCCCACCCGGCGAGTTTTAAAGCCATGCCACAGTCAGTATTTCAGGAGTGCTGGGTCTGAATATTAGATCAGAGTGCAAATTCATTAAACACTATTCTTAAAGTTGAGAGGTACACACATTTATCCCTGGAAGTTGTGTTCTTGCCTTGGGTGTAGCAAGGAGTGGCAGTGATCACACAATGGATCAGCAGGGAGTGGGGTGAGAGGTGGGAGGCACAGCAAGTTGGTTGTTTATTGGATATCACTTGCTTCAAGTCTTTGCTTGACTTTTTCTTTTCTTTCTTTCTTTTTTTTAGGACCAGGGTGTCACTATACAGTTGAGGCTGGCCTTGAACTCTCAGTGATCCTCCTGCCTCAGCCTCCCAAGTGCTGGGATTACAGGTGTGCACCACCAGGCTCAGTTTGTTTGAATTTCTGATAGACAGAGACAGACAGAGACAGAGACCTAAAATTTCAGGTAACAGAGGTTGTGTGACAGGAGGATTTTCATTGCATAAGAGAATGTGAAAGCCTCTTGCTCCTCCATAGCTGGAGCTCATCCATGTCACACGCCTGCCTGCATCATGCCTGTTCCCAGGGCAAGGGCCTGAGTTCCAGATGCTTGTGAATTCCCCTGGTGGTGCAAAGGGGAACCCGGAGCCACTCAGCTGCTCTATCAGAGAAGGCAGGGCAGCTCCACTCTCCTGTTGGTCCCCTCCTGTTTCAGGGGCAACAGATTCCTACAGCAGCAAGGGAAGGCCTGTCTCTGAAAGTCTCTGCTGGGCTGTAAGAACATGCTTTCCCACAAGCCCTGAGACATCTGGGGAGAGAGACAGACGGAAAGAGGGGTGGAGGCAGGGAGACATTCCCTGCTTGGAACAAGCCAAGAGCACAACAGAAACTCCAGCGTGCCAGGGGAAGGCAGGCAGATGGCCAAGAAGCTCTGAGCAGAAGCTCAGCGGCCGGGCAGGCCCCTCTCCCAGCAGGCCACTGGCCTAGAAACTTCAGAAGGGCCCACCAGTTGCCTAAGCAACCAGGGGTGTTTAAATCCCAGAGGGGGGTTGTGTATCTGAGTTCTGGGGTCCAAGTGGGGCCTTGCTTACTCTTTCCTAGCTCTGTGGTGAGCAGTTGGGATTATCGGGGTTTGGAGGTCTGAGTCTCTCTCTGTCTGTCTCTCTGTCTCTGTCTCTGTCTCTGTCTCTGTCTCTCTCTCTCTCTCTCTCTCACACACACACACATACACACACACATACACGCACACACTCGCAGAAGTCCTGCCAGCACAGTCCCTGGCCTTGGTGTGACCAGGAACGGATTGCATCATATATGCGAGCAGCTGCCTGCCTCTCCAGCTCCTCTGCATGTGAAATCATATTTGTTATTGTATCCCACCCCTTGCAGCATAGTGTCACTTAGTTTTAAAACTGTCCTTTGCTGGCTGGACAAAGGCAATCACAGAGATCTTAGTCTTCTGCCCAGAGTTTCCCAATCTCAGTTTCTGAGCCCCCAGTACTTGTGTTGTTGTTCCCTCTCTCATCCCAGGGTAGAAGATACTGCAAGCACCGTGTCCCCGACATCTTGCAAGGTCAGGCCCCGGAAGAAGGAGGTGGGCTTATGTCCACCAGCTGCGTGCGGTCCACATGTGGCAAGGGGAGGGAGAGCCCCGAACACTGCTTCTGCCACCTTGGCACCTCTCTCTTTTCAGCCCTCTTCCTTTCTCACCCTGTGTTCCCAAGCCTCCTGATTTCCTGGCTCCCAGAAACCTCTGGTGTGAGAACAGGCAGAGGAATCTCCTGGGGTGTACTTGGAAGGAAGGGAGTGAGCTTGGGTTGGATAACTTCCACAGCGGAATCTGCATCAGTGGCTCTTAGCCCTGCTGCACAATAGAGTCATCTGGGAGCTGTTAAAAAAAAAAATCGCACCGCCCAAGCGAGGGCCCAGAGATTCAGCTCAATGGGCCTGAACAAAGGGGTTTTTTTGTTTTTGTTTGGAAAACAATTTTTTGATAAAGGTATTTGTAGAAAAAATTCCCAGGTGATTCTAGCTGAGAGCTGCTGAGCTCAAGGTGTGTGGCTCAGGCTCCAGTGCAGAAGAGGCCCCAGGGGGCCACATAATGGACCCCAAGCCTTGCTGGTCTGCAGGCAGACTCAGTACAGGTCACCAGGCAGATGTACTTGTTGATGGTGGTGGCCTCTTTCACCGGCCAGATGTGCTCTGAAGTTGCTCTTAAACTCAAGGGAGGTGGTCGAGGATGACAGGAATCCAGCACTGTGCGCCATGACAGGAAGGGAGCTTTGGGGAAGTAGGTTCCAGGGTGGGGCTGGAGGATTTCTTTCTGCACATCTAAAATAAAACCCAGACAAGGGCTAGGGCAGAAACAACAAGAGAGAAGAAGGAGAAGTGAAACAACAGACAGAATTGCAAACGAAAATGAGAGGATCCAGAAAGACAAAAGCCACACACACACCTGGTCTCTGAAGGTCTTGGGAGGCTGGGCTTTGACTCAGTTACAAGCGGCCTTCCTTGGAAATTCGGCCCCAATCTCTGAATAGCTATAGCTCAAGCAGCTGCTTTGGGACCGTTATTTCAGTGTCCCAGAGGAAAGATATTTTGGGGCTTAGTCCTTGCCAGAAATAAGAAGCCAAGGGAAAAGGAGAAACATTACAGAATTTCCAAAAATATTTTGATAGCAATGCAAAACTGTAGAAGTTTAAAGAAAAATTAGAGTATACTCTTGTTTTAAGGAAGCCTACTAGACTGGGTCTGTATTTGGGATTGTAGGTAAATAGTTTCCCTATGTTGTTCCATCTGTGGAAGGGCCTGTAAGTTCACAGATATATTTGTGAGTGCATGCATATAATGTATTAGTCTGTGTATAGGCTTTTATATATGTGTGTGTACTTATTTGTAATACGTATTTTTAGTGTTATGATTTGTATACATGGAGCAGTTAAGTAGTATTTAAGTTTTAAAATAATATTGAGTCAAAAAATAAAAAAGAATGGGAGGGGCTGGGGATTTAGCTCAGCGGCATAAGCGCCTGCCTTGCAAGCAGGCAGTCGTGAGTTCTATCCCTGGTACCGATGAAAAGGAAAAAGACACACACAAAAAATAAAATAAAATAAAAAAGAATGGGGTGCTGGAGGTGTGGCTTAATGATAGAGTACTTGCTTAGCATGCTCAAGGCTCTGGTTTCAAATATATATATATATAGTTCTGCTTATTTTGGAAAATGAAAAAGATAACATCATATAAGACTGATAGGAAAGCTTCAGTGAGTGATTTAAAGATGGACTACACATCTTAGGAATCAAATATGACCTTGCCCTGCTGTGGTCTTTGGGGCAGCACTGGCTTATTACCTTACTCAGCAACCCTTTGTGAGCTTGGCTGGGGAGTAATTTACTCCTACTAAAGCTCACTGTTCTCCAGTTCTTCCCTCTACCGATGCCCATGTCTCTTGAATAGCTCAGGAAAAATCTCTTCTTTCAATGTGTCCCAGTCTTAGTGGTTAAAGGACTTTGCTCTTCTCCCAGCTGCCTGGCAATAAGGCTATTTTATGGTTCTCATGTTTAATTAGTATAAGCTATAACTTGTTGTTCCATAATATTTTATTTGTTATAATATGCTCGTTTTCTCTACCAACACCCAAGGGCAGGGTTGCACAGACTGCAGCTTTATAAATAAAATAAAATAATGTTAATTATGCCCTGGAGGCTGGCAGATGTGGATTTAAGAATGATTACACTGGCAGGC